TCCTTTTTTGTGTGTCACGTACATCGTAACAGAATCTTTTCTTGTTAGTATATATATGATATAATATATAGTTGGTGAGACCACTTTGATATACTCTTATACACGCATCGTCGTAATTACTGTAGTATCTTAATTAATTAAATTTGATACAATATGTTTATGGTTAATTCATATGCAGTCTGAAGTCATACTTCTTGGACAATTAAAGCACCCGAATTTAGTCAAACTCATAGGATACTGCTGCGAGGAGGAGGAACGAGTCCTTATCTATGAGTTCATGCCACGTGGTAGCCTAGAAAATCACCTCTTCAAACGTAAGCACATTTCCTAAAAATTTATAATACGTTACGTTGTTGCATTTATCTTTAATTATAATGTCACATATATTGTTGCCTAATTATGCTACTATTGTCTTCAGGGATATCACTATCACTGCCGTGGGCGACGAGGCTGAAGATCGCGGTCGCAGCCGCTAAGGGTTTGGCGTTTTTGCATGATTTGGAGAGTCCAATCATTTATCGCGATTTCAAGACTTCTAATATCCTACTTGATTCGGTAATTTTAATTATATATATGTCATAAAAAAGAATATTTTTACATCTTTAAAGTTATCAAAAAGGTATAATTTTACATTTTAAAAAAATTATTTATTAATTTGCCAAAAATATTCCAGGATTTCACAGCGAAGTTATCAGATTTTGGTTTAGCGAAAATGGGACCAGAAGGATCCAAATCTCATGTCACAACTCGAGTCATGGGCACTTATGGTTATGCTGCTCCTGAATATGTTTCAACTGGTACACCACACTTGTCTTGTCTCCTTTTACAAAAAAAAAAAAAACATTTAGTAGAAATCAGTTTAGGACATTTAACTTGATTAAGTTTCTAACGCATGGGAACAATATTTTCAGGGCATTTAACGACAAAGAGTGACGTTTACAGCTACGGCGTAGTTTTACTCGAGCTCCTAACGGGACGAAGAGCCACCGAAAAGTCACGACCAAAAAACCAACAGAACATCATCGACTGGTCAAAGCCTTACCTAACGAGCAGCCGTCGTCTCCGATGTGTTATGGACCCGAGGCTCGCGGGACAATACTCCGTCAAGGCGGCTAAAGACACGGCTCTTCTCGCGTTACAATGTGTGAGCCCTAACCCTAAAGACAGGCCAAAGATGCTTGCCGTAGTGGAAACACTAGAGAGTCTCATACATCACAAGGACATGGCGGTTTCTTCTGGTCATTGGCCTTTGTCTCCTAAATCTCATGGCGGCGGCAAGGTCTCGCCCAAGGTTCGAGGAGATCACCGGAGTGGTAGAAAATCAGCTCCGGGTCCGTTAAGGTCGTGAACTTGAAAAAGCAAATAACATGTCGTGTGTGTGTTGTGTATATTATATGGTTGGGCATACGTATCTAAGTGTCAAGTGTGACATAATTAATGAGAGTAATATGACTTCCATTAAGCAAAAAAATGCTATTAAAATATAAATGTAATAGATTTGGTATCCCACAGGTCTTTGTATAAAACATGTTTAATCAAACTGGCTTTGAGATATCATCTAGTTATCATCAAATTGGTGTATAGATTGTTTTTAATTTGTTTTGGTGTTCAACTGATACTATAGGCAAATCAACTCTCTCGTCTTCTAGCAAGATTAGGCCGAGCGTACAGTATAAAAGCATATGGGCCGGGCTATTTAAACTTGAGCACAAGTCAAGCCCATAACTATTTCGGCTTGAACCCATCACAATTCAGAAACCCTAGGTTGCCAAGAGAGTATAAAAACCCTAATCCAGCACACATTTTAGCTGTAGAGCTAAATTTCTCTTTTCATATCGCCGCCTACTTAACTGTTAAGGTATACAAGCTTCTCTTGATTTTGATTTGGTTCTTTCGATCTAGCTTCGAGGCATTTGTACTGAGTGATTGGTTTGGCTCTGTGTACGTTGATCATAGTTTTACATTCTCTAGCTGCTTAAGTTTTGTTGTATGTCGTAAAAATGTGTGTTTTGGTTATGATATGTTCTCAAGCTGTTTTGGTTTTATGATCGGAATGATAACCCTCGGAAACTATTATAAAATCAAGGCCGGAGTCTCTGATCTGCTCTTTTGCTGGAATCCAATTTTTTGGTTTTCTGGTTAGAAACACTCTAATGAGCTTGAGATTTGGCTTATCTTTATTGATGCCATAGGCCTTTGATCGAGGGAACATTTCCTTTCATATTTCCAGAATTCTTGAGAACATGTTGTCCTTTAGTCTCTGAAAGTTCTGGTTTTTGTCTTCTTTTCATAAACTATTCATGGTTCAAATCTCATTTGATTTTTCTAATATGTTGTTTTGTTCAATTGTAATCAAGAAGGTCAGTTGATATAATACTTGATTGTTAGTTGATATATACTAGGCGGTCTTTGAGTATGTTGTTATTGTTTCTCTGTTCCCTTTGTTCTTTTGACACTTTGTTGTTTTGCCCATTACCGATTAAATTGTTGTTTGGGTTTTGTCTTTTGGAACAACTCTGTAATATTGCAACTGTGTTCATTTATGTTGATTAATATGTGAATTTTGTTAATTGATGTGAATTTATTACTTTCCGTATTGTGGGAGTTATTGTCTATATTATGTCAAACCCTTTTTTATAAAAATTGTGATTGATTGAGTATGTCATCTGATTTGATTTGTTGTTATGTTCTGTGTATAGTGTTATCTTATTTATAGTGTTTGTTTCTGGTTGAAAGAATGTCTCACAGAAAGTTTGAGCATCCAAGACATGGTTCTTTGGGTTTCCTTCCAAGGAAAAGGGCTAACCGACATCGTGGAAAAGGTAATTGCTCTTATAAGAGCCTATTTAAATCCGTTACCCATTTTCTTAGTAGAACTAATCTAGCTTACTTGAATGGGGCAAATGCTTTTGTTCTTACTATTATGTTTATACTTTTTTTATGTCTTGCATATTGTTTTCAGTGTATCTTAATTTCCTGTGTAATTGTGATCTCATATTCTTGATTATGTTTTTCAGTGAAGGCTTTCCCTAAGGATGATCCAAGAAAGCCTTGTAGGCTCACCTCCTTTTTGGGATACAAAGCTGGGATGACTCACATTGTGAGAGATGTCGAAAAACCTGGATCAAGTGTGTTCTTACTCTCTTTCTTTATTGAATCACTGTACATTCATAATTCTTGCGTGTGGTTTTTGTGCTGATCTTTGTTAAATTTGTTTTGCCAGAGCTACACAAGAAGGAAACATGTGAAGCTGTGACTATCATTGAGACACCTCCGATGGTAGTTGTTGGTGTGGTTGGGTATGTGAAGACACCCCGTGGTCTGCGTTCTCTAAGCACTGTGTGGGCTCAGCATTTGAGTGAAGAAGTGAGGAGGAGGTTCTACAAGAACTGGGCTAAGTCGAAGAAGAAGGCTTTCACCAGGTACTCAAAGAAACATGAAACTGAAGAAGGGAAAAAAGATATTCAAAGTCAGTTGGAGAAGATGAAGAAGTACTGCACTGTCATCAGAGTCCTTGCTCACACTCAGGTGCTTCATCTTTCTCAGTTGTCAATTACTTGGGCTTCACAATTTCGTCTCTAATTGTTTTCTTTGATGATTAAATTGTATTTTGATTAATCTTGGGTATGTATTAGATAAGGAAAATGAAAGGCCTGAAGCAGAAGAAGGCACATCTGAATGAGATTCAGATTAATGGTGGAGATATAGCGAAGAAGGTTGACTATGCCTACAGCTTATTTGAGAAGCAAGTCCCTGTTGATGCTATCTTCCAGAAAGATGAGATGATTGATATAATCGGTGTTACAAAAGGAAAAGGTTATGAAGGTGTGGTTACAAGATGGGGTGTGACCCGTCTTCCAAGGAAGACTCATCGTGGTCTTCGTAAGGTGGCTTGTATTGGAGCTTGGCATCCAGCTAGAGTCTCCTACACGGTGGCCAGAGCTGGTCAGAATGGTTACCACCACCGTACTGAGATGAACAAGAAAATTTACCGGCTTGGGAAAGTTGGCCAAGAGACTCACTCAGCCATGACTGAGTTCGACAGGTAATTAAACACACAATCTTGATATGTTTTTGTCGTCTGTTTATTAGTGAAATTTACAATGTGCTCATGAGCTGTTTTCTGATTGACAGAACTGAGAAGGCTGTCACACCACTTGGAGGATTTCCACACTATGGGATTGTGAAGGATGATTATTTGATGATCAAGGGATGTTGCGTGGGACCTAAGAAACGTGTGGTGACATTGAGACAAACTTTGTTGAAGCAGACGTCTAGGGTTGCTACGGAGGAGATCAATCTTAAGTTCATTGACACGTCCTCCAATGGTGGACATGGTCGTTTCCAGACTGTTGAAGAGAAGGCCAAGTTTTATGGTCGAGCCATCAAAGTCTAAATCTATATTTTTCAAATCTCATTTAAACATTGTTAAGTTTTCTAAGTATTTTTGCTTCTTTTTTGAGTTTCTTTCTTCAATGTTGGATTGAGTTCTTTTGACAGTTGATATCAACTCTGTTTCCTACATAGATTTTTCATCTTATTAAGTTTATGTCCGTTTTATGATCAAACTATAGTTTGCCTAAAATTAGCAACAGATGGATTCAGTATCTTTAATACTGCTGAGGTTTCAAACCCATAACCAAGTAATCTAACCATATTCCGATATTGTAACTTAGAGCTCAACCAAGAAGTTCATGAGATACTCTTAAACCACGATTTCTTGTCTTTCTAGCGATTTCCTTAACACACCAATCAATCAGTTTGGATTCAAACATCAAAAGAGTTCTTACAGACACAGAAGCTTTGTTTACCTTATAAACAGGACCAAAACGTTGTTGAAACTCTCAAGTGGTGGCAAATTCAGTGAATCAACTAATGATACAGATATGAGCAGGCCCATTAATGAAAACTGAATAGAAAAGGGCTTTTAGGCCCAATATATTAAAACCTAGTCCGATGATGTTCTGTAAGCTATTTTAGGAGCTGGAGACAAAGGTTTTAGGGTTTCTCATTCACCGTCGACGCTTAGTTGAGATTTGAGAGTGAGAGAGAGAGAACAATGGATTCATACTCGTCGCCGCAGATGGGAGGTGCTTCGCCCTCGCCCGAAGCATTGATGGAACAGGTCAAGACACAACTCGCTCAAGCTTATGCCGAAGAGTTAATCGAGGTCAATCTTAATTCTTATAATTTTTGAAATTGTCTCTCAATTTTATGTTTGTCCTTTTTGGGTACACAAAAGTTGAAATTTTTTAGACCAATCTCATTTGATCTTTGAAGTATTCGGCTAAATTGATTGTTTCTGTTCGATTCTCAATGTTGTTGTAATTAAAGTTTGGGTTTTTATATGGTTGTGATGCAGACTCTGAGAACGAAATGTTTCGACAAGTGCATATCGAAGCCAGGATCAAGCTTAGGTGGGAGTGAGAGTAGCTGTGTTTCGAGATGCGTTGATCGATACATGGAAGCTACTGGAATCATAAGTAGATCTCTCTTCTCCCAACAACGTTGATCAATCATCATCACTTGCCTTTTTATTGAGTTTGGTGGGTTTTTAAGTATAAAAACTTGTTATTCAGAATAGAAATCAAGAATTACATTGGTTCAAAGTTGGAAGATTTGCAACTGTCAACTTGTTATTCGAGAATGGTTCAAGTTTTATATGTTGTTAAAGTGGTTCAAACATGTTTTTCAATCATATTGTTTCAGTCAAGTTTTATATGCTGTTAAGTAGCATTGGAATCTATAATGATAATAAGCCCTTTTGGAATGTAGGGTTGATATACTTGGTTTGATGCTACTGTCCAATTTTGATAGGCGGCATAAGCTTAGTTCCAAGTTTATAAAGCAGATTTATGCAAATGGCTAATTTCTTTGACATTTGAGTTTTGTGGCAATAGCTTTAGTGTAAGCTTCATAATAATAGCTCTATGATATTGATAGGTATGATCTCAAGTCTCTTGCTTGTGAGTATACAGTCCCCCATCTTTAAATCTCTCTGTCGAGAATGGTTTGGTTTCTCCGTTGATATCTCAGCTAAGTATTAGCTTGTAATAAACTGCTAATGACAATCCGAAGTTAAAGGCTATCAAAGGAACTTTATTGCTCTTACTTACGAGCTAACCCGAAGATATGAAATTTAGCGTTTCCATCAGATTTTAAATATTTTTTGAGGAACCTTTTTTGCTAGAACAAGGACATATAACCTCACAAGATCCTGAACTTAATACAGTACTTGAATCAAACACTCGAGGTCGATCGTTTACAACTTCAAAACCTAACAAAACAAATTCGTTGAGATGGGATAAAGTCGGAATTTGAATGGGTGACGAGCAAATCATATACGGCTCGAAAAAGATAGAGATTGAGGATATTTTTAGTTTGACAGTGATCAGAAGGTTGATGTAGTAGCAACATTGAATTAGATGGAGTCACAACATGAAATATAGATTGACAAAGAACCAAGTTTTTATTTTCTACTTTGACTCTAGTCTCTCCAAATCATATGATATAGTGGCCTTATTTACATCATAACTGATTCAAGAAAATACGAAACAGAATTCGCGTTCTATTGATGACTAATTCATTCGGAATACTAAATTCGACTTCAGGTTTTTAGCCTTAATTAAACCTTCAATCTTTGAGGGTAAGAAGCTAACTTTAGCCATGGCAAGAGATAACATTTTGGATTATTTTGAGGGAGCCTTAAACTTAAGAATAACATTGTCAAAATCTTTACTAAAAGAAACAACATTTGTTTACTAAAAACTATGTGAAACATCATTCGTTTCCTAAAAACTATGTGGTAACTAATCATCATCCAAAAATAAAACATTTGAAACCCATCTCTTCTCTACTATATAAACCACCAAGAAGCGTTTCTTCATAATCCCACAGAGCCAACTCCAAATACAATTAAATATATAAATACAATAAATTGAGCTCCTAATTGGGGGTTTCTCTTATAATTTATTTATTTATCTATTTAATCTATTTGGAAACACAACAAATAATACTTAGTAATAATAATATGGGGATGTCTAAAAGTGTCAAGGTTATTCTATCTCTCGCCCTCCTAGTGTTCTTGGCTCTTGCAGCAACCAAGACTGAGGCAAAATACATAGATTACGGCGATATGAATCGTGGAGATCATGCTAGAAACTGCGACAAAGCGCGACCTGAATCCTGCAAGAAGGAAGAAGCTAACCCTTATAGGAGAGGATGCGAAGTGGGCACACGTTGCCGTCGCGCTCCAGGTGGAAATTAAAACTGTGAATCATCAACTAGCTAAGCCAAAAGCATACGATATTACATCAAATGCTAGTTTCCTATTTATTTAAGAATGTGGTGACATGTTTCTTGATTTAGGAGTACCAGTTTTGGTTATCTGTAAAACACACATTATACATCCTCATATTCATTTGTTAATGAGATTGTTTTATAGTCTTTTTTTTGTTGGTTTTGTAATTGTTTGTAACCAGATGATGTTATGATCAATCATATATAAATATATTTCAGTTAATATTCGATAACAATCTAATTTGAAGTTAGAAACAAAGTGTTGGTAACAAGGCTTGCTTGGTTGGTTGGTGAGGCACTTCAAGCTCGTACGTTACACCCGTGGCAAGAACGACTTGGAAGTAAAACATAAATCAAAATCAAAGTTCTATGTTATCCAATTACAAGTTGGAAAAAAAAACTCTTGAACCAAATCCAAAACCACAAAATTCTATTGAAAATCTAAATCTCTCAAGTCTTAACTAATACAAACGCATGGTATTCTCAACATAGTCCGGAAATGTCCAAACTATAATAGAATTTTGATGATGCCTTCTCTCTATCGGGTGAGTGCCTTCGAGGTCCATGTATCTTATACAATTTCGCTCTGGATCATAATATAAGACCCATAACCTATCATTAGATGAGTACATACGATTCACAAAAACAATCTCACCATAACGAGTAACACCCGAAATGGACCATTTGTCAAATCCCTCCATCTCATACAAGAAAATCTTGGACCATCCTTGTGTCTTCTGGTCATGATCACCATCATCTCTAATCCAAATTTCCATAATATTCCAGCAACACACGAATCCTAACTTCCCTTTGTAGTTTATCAGAATTGAATAGTGATCCGTCAATGTTTTTGGAGCGTCGACATTACAAAACTTCTCGGACCTAACATCAAAACTCATCAATTCATATATAGAAGAATTATAATCCTTTTTCTGAAGCTTTTGCTCGGTAGTAAATAACCCCGTTGGTGCAAACCGAACCAAACAATGGTAAGTGATATCCACTAACGCCTTGGATGGTCCTCCACTGGTTTGATGTATGATGTCCTCCCAACGTGAAAACGTGACAACCTTTGTCCGAATAATATAGTGGTAAGAACAATACTTTGTATTGGTTTTGGAGAGGGTCGTATCCGAAGAAGCAAATGCCCATGTTTGAAGTTTCTTTGATCTTTGGTAAGTGAAAACACTGCCTTGTGGTAGGGTTATACACAGCTGCCTCACGACGAATGTTTGACCAACAAAAAATCAAGCCGCGGAGGTATTGATACATATTCTCAGGGATTAGTAACGATTTTTTGGTAGTGCAATTATAATTAGACGAGAAGACAAAGAAACATTCGTTGGGGTGGCCTGAAGTGTGCTGGAAGATGAGATGGGCATCACGAGGAGGCTCTTTCAAAGACCGAGTCACGATCGAGTCTATGAAGTCTCTACGTCTGCTGATAATGAATGACCATTGCTTCGAGACGCATTGAAACTTCACTAGAGATTTTGCCGGGAGGAATACTGATGTGTCTTGTGGAGGTCTCGTCGCTCTTCTCTAGCAAAGGCTCTATATATATTAACCATCTTAAAAATACACATGTTACTATAAATTTAAAAATGTTAATATAGATAATCCGCGATGGAAATTTTTTGTTATTTTTTTTTTCTTTTTAGATATTTGAAGTTTATTTTTACGGGTTTTCATAATTATTACAATTGTTGTACTTGTATTGAATTGTTAACTTTTGGCATAACAATTAACGAATATATATGTTCTTTTAGGATTTTGTAAGTTAGTTGTTATTATGCTAATTTCTATGGATATGGTTATCTTGATTTAAGAATTTTATATATAATATGGGTGCATGTACATCAGTTTGTTAGCGACACTTGTTAAACCGACTTTATAGGAAGGGATTGGGCGTAACTCAGTATTTACGTGGGGTTTTCTAATGCATATAACTTGTTTTCTAAATAAATTTGAGATTCATAACAAATATATTTATGGTGATTATTGCAGATTTTATTATCTTCGAAGTTATTTAAAATTAACAAAAAATTGTGTTCTAAACCAGATTTATTCGGAAAAAGCAGTTTTCAGGTTCACGAGTCTTCTTTCCAAATCCTTTTAGCACTACCAAAGACTTTCACTGTCGAGGAGACTTCCTTTCACAATATAATTTTTGGTTAGATCAAACCCAAAAAAATGAATGACTTTGGATAAATGTCAGAACTGAAAAATCTCCGAAGACTTTAAAAAATATATACATAGACTTTCAGAATTTTCGAAACCCAACAAAACATAGAGACATTATTTGTCAATTTAAATGTTATTTTCTTACAAAGATACAATCCCTTATTATTTCAAATATAAGTAAATGTTATTTTAAATCTATAATCTTCTAGAAATATATTTCTTCAGTTTTAAAAATAGACAGTATCATTGTTAAATATAGTTCATGTAGACGTTATGGAACTCTTTATTTAGCTACTAAAAACAACATTCATTTACTAAAAATATCTTTGTGGTTACTAATCATCTTCCAAATATAACCAACATTCATTTACTAAAATCTTTGTGGTTACTAATCATCATCTAAATATAACCAACGTTTGAAACCCATCTCTTGTCTACTATATAAACACCAATTACTGCTTGTTCATGATCCCACAGAGCCAAATATTTAAGATACAATAAATCAAATATATAAATAACATAAAAGTGAACTCCTAATTGGGGTTTACTTTTATAAGTTATTTATATATTTGTTTGTTTTGGGAGAAGAATAAAGAAAGAAGAAAACAATAGTAATATGGGGATGTCTAAAAGTGTCAAGTTCATTCTATCTCTTGTTCTCGTCGTGTTCTTGGCTCTTGCAGCCACCAAGACTGAAGCAAGCAAATTCATAGACTACGGCGATCTTAAGCGTGGAGATCATTCTAGAAATTGTGACAGAGCTCGTCCTGAATCTTGCCAGAAGGAACAAGTTAATCCTTACAGGAGAGGATGCGAAAAGAGCCAACGTTGCCGTAGCGACTAAGCTCTCAAAGTCACAATGATGTGAATGAACCAACAACACAAAGAGCATAAAATGCAACATGCATCAAATTAGTTATCTAATATACATTCACATGACACTCACAGACGACATCCTCATATTCTTTTGTTTACTTTGTCCTCTATGTTTTGTTTTTGGTTCTGTCATTAATAATTGTAACCCTATGGTGTTATGATTCATCATTTCTATCAAATATATCCAACAAATTTTTATATATATTTCTATTATTAATTGGATACTAACTAAAACAATCTTTCGAGCTATTTTTACACTTTCTTATGAGTTATCGTGAACGAGTTTTCATTATTTTTTAATTCATTATGAGTTATCTATAAATTTATTAGTATATACTTTGTGGCTCTCTATCAAGAATTCTTTCGTTTCTTTTGTTTGAAACATGTCAAGAAGTTTATATGAAAAACAAAAAAAAAGAGTAATTAAGTGGGTTCAATATCTCGACAAAGGTAGGAACGTGTTAAGTAAAAACAACAGAGATCTTACTTAACATGATACATCTAATATAACTGATGTCTGATGATGTAGTAATTGAGTTTGAGCTTGTTTACACCTTTCAAGGATGAAAAGTGTATGCAGCAACTACTTAATTGTTGTATAATTTGTGAGAATGACAATGAGATTACAGTGACTAGTGAGAGATTAAAACATGTTAGAGTTGTGTAAGGCAAGTAAGATCGGGTAAATTATACACATATTGAATTGCTATTCGTTACTAATAAATGTTATCAGGACATTTACAATTACATCATCTATAATAGAGACATATATTGTGTAGTTTGTAACACTATATATAAACCTCGTCAATACAATGAAATAATAGATGTGCTAACATATATATAGTACCATGTGCATAGTTATACCAATATTAGTTTTGGTATGCATACTAATCGTTGTAGAGAGTACATGACATGTAGTGCTATAACACAGTTCTACATGACATGTTATGACTAGGGCTTGCCAAAATATACATTATACGTAGTACTTGGTTTGATTATTTATATTGAGAAGCTTCGTCATTAGCACCCAAAATCTTTGAATCAAAAATATTCCACATTTTTCATATGATACTAACTTTTATACGCGTTATGATATTAAAATAACATAAATTAGCAATTAAAGTAAAGCCGCCAGAATCTTAATTTTTAAAAATTATGATACACCAAATTACAAAAATATTTAGCATTATTTACAAAATACATTACCCGATATATAATTTAAAATAAAATTTCAACAAAATTATTGAACGTAGCACTATCCTTTATTTTAACCATTTTACCACAAAAAAAAAATCTTTAAAATTCTTAAATATATACTAAGAAAAGTGCTGGTTCTTATATATTAATATCATGTGAAAGCTAAGTGGTGATGACTTTTTCATAGCTTTAGAAGTAGTTAACTACCTCATATAATCACTGTGAATAAAAAAACTAATCAATTTCTTAAATGATCTTGGACTACAAGTTAAACCTACACCGGATGCATTACCAAATAGTCAAATAATAATAATTAATATGTAATCCAAAATCGATGTAGCCAATAGCCATCATCATCAGTCTCTTTAACACACCCAACCAATATTCAACAATTTTGTTTTCATTTTCATATAATTATTTAATCACCTTCGACTTTTTGTCATTGGTCACATCTTCTAATAATTGTTTTGTTAGCACGACCGTTATTATATGACTTTGTATAAAATTGTTAAACTCAAAAAATATATTTTTTTATTTCCTTTGGAAATATTTATTTAATTCGACTGACCAAATTGTATAAGAGGGTGACTGAAAAAATGACTTTAAAGGCTGAAATTTTTTTCTTTTTATTTTGTAAATATATTTATATATATATAATATGGCCATCATATTAATTTGTGGAATGCAAAAATATTTCCACATATAGTTAGACATCAGGCTAAACGAATTTGGTATAGAACTTTTTTTTGGGTAAGATTAATTATTATTTTTGCTAATAACTGATACAAATTAATTCTTATATACTTTATAAAAATTGCTTTATAACCTATGATAGGTTGTACTGCATCTCATGGACTTTAATATCGTATGTTGACGTTCTTGACAAGTAATTAAAAGCTGGTGGTTCATTGATTTTTGTTGTATTTATAATGAGAAAAATGTGTAGGATCCGAAGTTGGGATATATATGATTCGCTTTTACTGTATCTTGATCTGAAATCTCTAAAGTCTAAATTAATGTTGAAAGTGTTGGACTGCATCAACAAAAATGTTGCTTATGATCTTGATTGTTTTCAAACTATAATTTCGACTTTTTCAAAGATTTATTACATATGTTTAGGAACAAAGTAAATTATTAATATATAACATTTTACAGATTTTCAAAACAATATATTTTTGTAAAGTTTTAATGTGAATGTAAAAAAAATATAAAAGAGACTTTGTTTGATTTTGGAAAACCTAGTCTCACTAAAAGTCTCAAACTATCTCCCACCAAAGTCATTTCCTCATAAACTATTTCCATTTTTCAAGTAAGTTACAATCTTTGTTTATTAAATATATAACATTTTCAGATTTCAAATTACGTTTTTTGTAAATTATAATGTGAACGTAAAGAGCTTTGTGCTTTATATTCGTTTAGAACAAAAGACTTTGTTTGATTTTTTTTTTTCTTTTTTTTTTTTCGTAAATAGACTTTGTTTGATTTTGGAAAACCTAATCTGAGACGTCTCAAACCACCTCTCCGGAACACAATTTTAGTCATTTCTTCGTAAACTATCTCCATTTTTCACTTTTGACCATCACCAAAACAACACAACGTCCTATGGTAAGTTGTTCATTGGTCCCCAAAAATAGCTTTAACTTAGATTTCTAACGTGTCAATACAATTATGGTCTTTGGAGCTCTCATGCACCCATAAAAAATGGAATGTAAAAAAGAATGACATGCACGAGAAACAATGTCCTTCTTTAATATACTTAGTTTAGTTCGCTGGTTTTGTACATTGCTATTGTATTTTTTGGGTCTTCTTCGTTATTTGTATCTCATATAACGATATGTCAAAATTTCGAAATTGTTATAATAACTTCTTCACCTTCATATCCAAAAAAATGAAAACTTAAACGTAAACATTAATTGTAACTAAAATGTTGATGAAAACAATGAAAGAACATAAAATAAATATTTACAAAGATCACATAAATACATAACAGTACACATACAGAACTCATATAATAAGGTTTCAAAGTGTTTGACTTTGAAGATTGAATTTTTCAAGCCACGCCTACTCACCGGTCGGCTCTTTTCATCTTCGTCTCTGTGTTTTATATAAAGACACGCATACGTGTTTCATCATTGCCAAAAGAAACAAAATCCAAAACTTATTTATCCTTCTTTTGGAAAGTATTTTACAAGATTGATCAAAAAGGTCTTTGCTTGGGAATTGTTGTGTTCTGTGAGCTCTAATGGCGGAACAAGTGAAAGAAAAAACATTAGAGGAAACTTCTACATGGGCCGTCGCTGTGGTTTGCTTCGTCTTGCTTCTGATTTCTATTGTTATTGAGAATCTTATTCATAAAATTGGATCCGTAAGTCCCTTTTTTTTAACTTCTTCTCCTCCTTCTTGATCCTCTGTTTCTTGCTCTGTTTCTGTTTAGTTCTTCTTCATCATCCCAAATAGTCAAACTTGATACCACAGATCAAAAGTAACTTATGTCTAAAACTGCCAAAACCCAAAAGGGTTTAACAAGTTTTTGAATTTTTGTCGGTTTCATAATATGCTCTGTTTCTGATACTACACAATTACACAAAGCTATGCTCTGTTTTGATTCTTTCTCAGTTTCTGATACTAAACAACGCTATGCTCTGTTTTGATTCTTTCTTCTGAACAGTGGTTTAAAAACAAGAACAAAAAAGCTTTATATGAAGCTCTTGAAAAAGTGAAAGCAGGTAAATTTATTATTCACTTAAAACATATTTTAAAGATTCATTTAATCTTCTTTAGTTTTGGATATTGGTTAGTTAACAGATTAATTAAATGTTATTTATTTGGCAGAGCTTATGCTGATGGGATTCATATCACTACTGCTTACTATTGGACAAGGCTACATCTCGAATATTTGCATCCCTAAGAACATCGCAGCGTCGATGCACCCTTGTAGTGCAGCCGAAGAAGCGAGAAAGTACGGTAAGAAATTAGTCCCAAAGGTCCAGGAAGACGGAGGAGACGACGATGACAACTCGCGTCGAAAGCTTCTCCAATTAGTCGATTCTATCATTCCTCGAAGGAGTTTGGCTACCAAAGGTTATGATAAGTGTGCAGAGAAGGTAAAACTTTGTAAGAGCCACTAATGTAGACCGCTTTTTCGATTATGAGAAGTCGAGTTTTCTAATGTATGTTTGTTTTCTAGGGGAAAGTCGCTTTTGTATCGGCTTATGGCATGCATCAGCTGCATATATTCATCTTTGTTCTTGCGGTTTGTCATGTGATTTACTGCATTGTTACTTATGCTTTGGGGAAGACCAAGGTAACTTCTTTTATATCCATCCTCATTATGATCACACAGTTGAGATCATACCACTCCCTTTCGCTATAAGTTTGAATCTTTTCTCATAGATGAGAAGGTGGAAGAGGTGGGAACAGGAGACGAAGACAATCGAATATCAGTATTCACACGGTATATATAAAACTTCAATTGGGAAACTGATAAATCTGAAACTGAGTGTGAAGTTTAAACAAGGAACTTTCGAATAATGTAGATCCCGAGAGGTTTAGGTTCGCGAGGGATACATCTTTCGGGCGTAGACATCTGAATTTCTGGAGCAGAACAACTGTTACGCTGTGGATTGTATGTTTCTTCAGACAGTTCTTTAGATCAGTAACCAAAGTTGATTACTTAACACTGAGACATGGTTTCATCATGGTATAATATCAATCTTTTTCCATTGTGTTTAATAACTTATCTCTCAAGAAAAATATCATTATGCTTCTTCTTTTTCATCTATTGTAGGCTCATTTGGCTCCTGGGAGCGATGCAAGATTCGATTTCCGAAAGTACATTCAGAGATCATTAGAGGAAGACTTTAAAACCGTTGTCGAGATCAAGTATGGAACTAACAATGATTACAAACTCCATCAGTTCACTAACTAATTATGATTAATCTGATGTTTCAACTGCTTATATCTTCAGTCCTGTGATCTGGTTCGTCGCTGTCTTGTTTCTCCTGACCAACACAAACGGTACATACATTTTCAAAACGTTGCTGCATTGAAATCTTGTTAACGTGTTCAACAATCCAAAACTAATATATTTGCTCTGCTTCTCTTATGAACAGGATTGAATTCTTACCTCTGGTTACCTTTCATTCCTTTTGTCGTAAGCAACATACAAAACCTTTAGAAGAAACTTATTTGTTTTGTTTTGGTTTCAACACAAGAATGAACGTATAAACAAACTTGCAGGTGATTCTTATCGTTGGGACAAAACTTCAAGTGATAATAACAAAACTAGGACTACGAATCCAAGAGAAAGGCGACGTAGTAAAAGGCACACCGCTTGTTCAGCCCAGTGATCATTTCTTCTGGTTCGGTCGCCCACGTTTCATTCTCTTCCTCATTCACTTGGTTCTCTTCACGGTAAACACCAATGTTACTTTCTGATTCTTCCCCCTACAACACAACGCGAAAAAATGACTCAACATAACCATACATTTTCGCCATTTTCAGAACGCGTTTCAACTCGCTTTCTTTGTCTGGAGTACGGTAAGCAAGCAAGACTGCATTCTCCGCAGACTTAACAAGTAATATACCAATTCATTCATCATTTCATTGAAAAAACTATTTGCTATTTCTTCAGTATGAATTCGGTCTAAAGAACTGTTTCCATGAAAGCAGTGTAGATGTAATCATCAGAATCTCAATCGGGTAAGTAAAAACATAAGCTTTTAAAACCAAATCATAGAAAGAAACTGAGTAATCAATCATACCTTATTGTCCCAAACTAACAAAGCCCCAAGCTTTTTCTTGATCTTGCAGACTTATTGTCCAGATTCTTTGCAGCTACGTTACTCTTCCTCTTTACGCTCTAGTCACTCAGGTAAAACACACTCACAACATATATAAAGATTCCAACTTTCAAGTTCAAAATCTGTTTTTTGCAAAGATGACACATAAAAATCGAAACTTTTGCAATTTCTGAATCTTTGAATTTGATTCTTTGGTGAAGATGGGTTCAAAGATGAAACCAACAGTGTTCAACGAGAGAGTAGCAATAGCATTAAAGAGTTGGCACCACACAGCAAAGAAACAGATCAAACATGGAAGAACCTCAGAATCAACCACACCTTTCTCTAGCCGACCAACAACACCAACACATGGTTCTTCTCCGATTCATCTCCTCCGCAACGTCCCTCACAAACGAAGCAGAAGCGTTGACGATAACAGCTTTGCGAATTCAATGTCTCCGAGAAGAAACTCTGATTTCGATTCGTGGGATCCTGAGTCTCAACACGAAACTGCTGAGACTTCGACGAACTCAAATCATCGTTCAAGGTTTAGAGAAGAAGAATCGGAGAAAAAGCTTGGACCTTCTTCATCTGTTGAACTTCCTCCTGGACCTGGTCAGATACGAACTCAGCATGATATTAGTAATATCAGCTTAAGGGATTTTTCGTTTAAGCGGTGATTTAAAATTTTAAAAATTAAATTGAATATTTATTAGTAGTGATTTGTTAATTACTTTATGTAAACAGTTCTTGTACATTTTTCAACATTATACAACTTTATATACATATTGTTGATGGAGGCACTTTTAGTCACTTTTCTCAAAATTCCTAATTTCTCAATGTAAAAGCTTTGATTTTTTGGATTTTAAGATTATGGAGATTGATGGGAAGTTGGTGAAAAGTGGTTTCTTGACTTCTTGTCTTTCGATTTGTTTGTCATATGTTTGGGAGTTTGTGGTATGATAGTGGGTGTAAGAAGCATGCAAGGTGTCTGATAAAATGCCTGAGTGAGACTTGGTTTCCTGGAACACAATGGTTTCTGCTTTCTGGGATTAGGAAATAGAAGTAGACATGGTTTGTAGAATGTGTGAGGAGAATCTGAAGCATGGTTTTGTTTATCATTGTTTCTGTTTTGTCCTGTCTTTGATTTGGGATCTGAGTATTGACAAGGTGATTAGAATCTCTTGTGAATGCATTCAAAATGTGGTTCTAGGAAAATTGCTAGACAGCTCTTTGATAGAATGTTGTTATTTTACAGGGTTTGATTATTGACGGGGGTTTGTGGAGAATGAGAATTCTAAAAGCAAGTGGTAACTTTATTCTTGGAAAAGGGTTGAAAAGCCAGATCATTAGTGCTTTGCATGATTGTGCTTAGTTGAATACCAGATACGTTGCTGTTGTATTGGGGTACAATTTTCATATTGTACAGGAATGGGAAAGGTGATGCCTATTTCTCATTGGTTATGGGCTCCAAGAGTTGAAAAGGACCTGAAAATAATATGTCAACCTTTGCATGGTGGTTGATTGGGTACAAGGTTGACATTCTTTGGAGCCAACTTGAAAACATGAGTATTTCATTGGTGCAGGAACTGTATTATAAAACAAGGTTTAAGTTGCTCGTGAATAAAGTAATGTGGAACCTTGGAAAATTGGGTGCTCTGCAGACTGTGTCAACGTTGGTTTGGTGAATGAGAATAATTTTTATTATATATACTTGACTATGTTTTTTATTTGGCTTACTTTCTCTTGCTTACATGTTCCTTTCCCACAATAATTTTAGGAGATTGTTCTTGGAGACACAAGAGCACACATGGGGATGACGAGGTTTGCTTGTTTTCTCTTGTTTACCTTGTTCTTGAGTTTTAGCTATGCATCTATAACCAAAGAAAGTCCTTTGTCAATAGGACAGACTCTCAGCTCCTCTAATAACGTTTATGAATTGGGGTTCTTTAGTCCTAATAACTCCCAGAATATGTATGTTGGAATCTGGTTCAAGGGTATCATTCCCCGGGTGGTGGTGTGGGTGGCCAACAGAGAAAATCCTGTTAACGACTCCACGGCGAATCTAGCTATCAGCAGCAGTGGAAGTCTTCTCTTATTTAATGGCAAACATGATGTTGTCTGGTCCATTGAAGAAACTTTTGCATCTAACTGGTCTCGTGCAGAGCTTTCAGACAGCGGAAATCTTCTTGTCATAGACCAAGTCTCGGGAAGAACCCTATGGCAAAGCTTTGAGCATCTTGGTGATACTATGCTGCCTTACTCCTCCCTGATGTCTAACCCTGCCACTGGTGAGAAGCAAGTGTTGACTTCTTGGAAAAGTTACACCGATCCATCGCCTGGTGAGTTTGTGGGTCTGATTACACCGCAAGTGCCATCACAGGCGTTTATTATGAGAGGCTCAAAGCCTTATTGGAGAAGCGGTCCATGGGCTAAAACAAAGTTTACTGGCCTACCACTAACGGATGATTCATACAGACATCCATTTAGCCTTCAGCAGGATACAAACGGTTCAGTATACTTCTCTCATATAAAAAGAAACTTCAATCGTTCATTTTTAGTATTAACATCAGAGGGATCACTGAAGATGACTCAGCATGATGCCAAGGGCTGGGTATCAAAACTTGAGATTCCAGCTAACTCATGTGATTTTTACGGTGTATGTGGACCTTTTGGGTTGTGTGTAATGTCCATCCCTCCAAAGTGTAAATGCTTTAAAGGCTTTGTACCACAATACAGTGAGGAATGGAGAAGAGGAAACTGGACTGGTGGTTGTGTGAGGCGTACTGAACTACATTGTCAAGGAAACTCTACTGGCAAACATGTAAATGTCTTCCATCCTGTTGCCAACATAAAACCGCCAGACTTTTACAAATTTGTGTCCTCTGAGGGTGCAGAAGAATGCTACCAAATTTGCCTTCACAACTGTTCATGTTTGGCATTTGCTTATATTCATGGAATAGGGTGCTTAATGTGGAACCAGGAGCTGATGGATGTAGTGCAATTCTCTGCGGGAGGAGAGCTTCTTTCCATTCGTCTTGCACGTTCTGAAATGGGTATGCCTTAAAATTGTAACATCAAAGAGCTTTGTCATTTACAACGTTGTCTTCAATTTCACTGATCAGCATGGCTTATTTGTTTATTTTGCCTTATATCTCAGGTGGAAATAAGCGCAAGAAGATCATTACTGCTAGTATTGTGAGCCTTTCTCTTTTTGTGATAATGGCTTCTGCTGCAATTGGTTTCTGGAGATACAGAGTGAAACATAATGGTAACATACTGATGACTTTACTATCTCTAGATCAATCTCCTGAGCTTAGGTTCTGCTATGTTTATTTCAAATTATCTATATGTACTGTTGTAGGAAACAATTTTTCCCACAAAATTTCACATATGCCTACACTAAATGGACTCATGTCGATATGTTCTTAAAAATCATACTCTACTCAGTTTGAGCTTGCTTGAGAAACTTGTAATATGATTTTGATACTTTGCTTGATGGGTTAACTAAGATGTCAAACACTAACACATTAATTCTTGACACTCTAGTTTCAGCAATTATATCGAGGGTTGCTTCACAAGGTGCATGGAAGAATGATCTGACACCACAAGATGTCCCAGGTTTACAGTTTTTTGAGTTGAAGACCATTGAAATTGCCACCAATAATTTCAGTCTCTTAAACAAACTCGGACAAGGTGGATTTGGTTCAGTTTACAAGGTCAGAGAATTTTTATTCTCTTTGCTCTTTTTATCTCAAGAAACTTACTGTGATTTCATTACCTTCTGCAATATGTCTCAGGGAAAACTACAAGATGGGGAAGAAATTGCTGTGAAACGTCTTTCAAGCAGCTCAAGACAGGGCAAAAAGGAGTTCATGAATGAATTAGTACTCATCTCCAAACTACAACACAGAAACTTGGTTCGGATTTTGGGCTGCTGCGTTGAAGGAGAAGAGCGGCTATTGATTTATGAGTTCATGGTGAACAAAAGCCTTGATACTTTTATCTTTGGTGGGTTCTCATTCTCTTTCTATAAGCATCTTTTTCTCTATATGGAACTGTTTTTTCTCATAATTTTTGCAATGTATAGATTCAAGAAAGAAACTTGAGATTGATTGGCCAAAGAGATTCAGTATTATTCAAGGAATTGCGCGTGGACTTCTCTATCTCCACCGTGACTCACGCCTCAGGGTTATTCACAGGGATGTGAAGCTTAGCAATATTCTTCTCAACAAAAGTATGAACCCAAAAATATCAGATTTTGGATTGGCTCGGATGTATCAGGGAACCCAACATCAGGACAACACTAGCAGGGTTGTTGGAACTATGTAAGGAGCTATCTTCAAAACATGCTTACCTTGGATTCATTGCTATAGTTATGTATTAACTTGGAAGAAGCTATTTTGATAATATTTGCAGAGGATATATGGCTCCCGAGTATGCATGGACTGGGGTTTTCTCAGAGAAGTCTGACACATACAGCTTTGGAGTTCTTTTGTTAGAAATTATCAGTGGAGAGAAGATCTCAAGGTTTAGCGATGTTGAAGAGTGCAAAGGCCTTCTTTCATATGTAAGTAAGACTTTAGATTTAGAATCTTGTACAGTAGTACTAAGTACTTGATCTCCATATTCACTGCTCGTTTTAAAATGTTTCTTGCTCTTATATTTTCTTGTTCTGAATCCACAACAGGCGTGGGAATCTTGGTGCGGAAATGGAGGAGTTGAATTTTTGGATAAAGCTGTTGCTGATTCATGTCACCCATCTGAAGTTGGAAGGTGTGTTCAGATTGGTCTGCTTTGTGTTCAACACCAACCTGTAGACAGACCCAACACACTTGAGTTGTTGTCTATGCTGACCACAACAACAGATCTTCCACCACCGAAACAACCCACATTTGTAGTACACTCGCCGATAGATGACGGATCCAGTGCTAATGATTTGATCACCGTCAATGAGGTGACACAATCTGTGGTGCTAGGGCGTTAAAGAACAACACTTCATCTGAAATAGAATGATCAAATTTTGTAATTTCAACATACATTTCATTCTTTAGTTACATTTCACATTTTACTGGAACAACATGCTAATATCTGTAGTATGAAATGAATTCAAGTTCAAGAACTGATTCCATGAAAGCAGAGTATTATACTCTATTATTTTGTCATTTGGCAACTTGCATGTTTGACAAGTGTCCATGTTCTCCTACTAGAATTTCGATAACAACTATTTAAATTGAACAATTACATAATTTTTTAGTTTTACTTTTACATAACAAAATTATCATTTTAGGTTCTCTGTTATTAGAATTTAACTCTCTCCATTACAGGATCAAACCTTAATTGATTTGCTTTTCTCGATCCTACTTTTCTTTTTGATTGTTTTTGTTTTTCTTTATTTTTTTTTTTGGTAAATTTCTTTATTTTTTAAGTTCATACTTTGTCACAGTTAAAAATAGTTTCTTCAATTGTGTAACTAAACTTTATAGTTCTTAATTGTTGTTTTTACAAAGTTCCCAGAAAGTAATGTTTTAAAATTTAAAGGGTGAATTAATATAAACCTTTGTGCCCTGCGATTTGTAATTTGTTCACCAGTATGATAATTGAGATCATTTCTTGCAAAATTTATTTTTTATGTTTTTCCTAACTCAATATAGTTTCGGTTATTGGAAAACAAAAACTTAAGAAACGTTACAAATAAAAAGAATAGATGTATTGTTAACATATGTATAAAGTATCCAATCCAACGTTGTTTTGTCAATTAACATTTTCCACATGAATAAATGTTCAAAAAACAAAAACCCTTCATAACGTACAGTCTCTATAGTATTTGAACTCTATGATTGAGACTACGTTTCACATTTCCTGTCTAATTTTGAATTAACTTTTCTTTAATCTCACTCAATTCTATAGTTAAGGCTTTATAACAAAACCCTCAAATTATGCTTTACAAAATTATTTTTTCTGAATAAAGTGAAACAAAAATTATTTTAGTAAAACTTAAACATGGTAGAGAAAGAAGAGCCATTGTTACTGATGCCTTATTAGTTCCGGTGATGGTTGGAATCTTAGTTAGCACAACTGTGGCTTGGATCTTCATATTGATTCTTATGGCCATTTACTTCATTTGTTTCTTCTCGAGGTGGAAAAAAGCAACATAGTTTTGAAACGAGAGAAGATATATGGCCATGAGTTCAATGGAAATAGGAACAATGGTGGCTCTCAAATAAATGGAGAAGATCACTAGACTCGTGACTCGACTGGAGACCGTCAAAAAATTGATTTGCGTCACAATGAATTTTCCTTGTTGACCTAGACAGAGACACATGATTGTGTAATGGTTTTGCTTAGTTTGGCCATATGGTGACTTTCGGAGAATATTTGTTAATGTTTGTTAAAAACGAGCTTTTAGCCACCCCATTTATAAAGCACATAACAAATGATTATTTACCAATCTAATAATTTGATTACAATCAATGAGCTGACACAATATGGCATTTTAGGGTGTTAAGGCCATCTCCAACTATTGCACAAAAATTACACAATATTTAGTGTAGTCTTAGCAACAATTGTATTTTTGTGAATATCCCTTTTATATAACATATGCTGAAAAATAAAATCCTTCAAAATAATATTTCCAAGTTTACCTAAACTTGCGAAAAAACAAATCAATTCGCAAATGATTTAAAATCAGCAGTATGTTTTAAATGGAGTTGAAATGATTTGATAGTGTAAAATAGAAGGATTCAAATCCAAGGGTAATATATATTATTTTAAAAATTCATGTGATTGATTTTCTTAATCAGTAAAGATTTTCAAATTTATATGGATATACAAACCAATGAACAATAACAGCCCCTAAAATGATTTGAGTTTGTTTAAGTTTTTATATGATTTTGATGATTTTAAAGAAGTTCAAGTGATTTATTGTAAAATCATTTCAAACACACCTAAAACCATGACATTAGGATTTATATATATTTAATTAAGAAAATCATGTTAAATCCTTCCAAATCCTTCAAAATCAAATCCACCAACTATATTTCATAACATTGGATTTAAGTTGGATTTCTAAATCATTAGTTCAATAACACTGGAATTCATTAGACTTTTAAAATTCATTATTGAATAACATATGATTTATAAATCTTACACAAATCACTTAAAATTTTATTTTGAGTACCCCCCCCATAAATCTAAATTTAGAAATTTAAAACTGGAATGTATTTGACCGTACAAACTCTTTATAGATACACATAAGGGCTATATTGATTAAACTCGAGTTTGTAGGTTTGGCCTGCATTTTTTGCAACTTGAGGATAAACTTTAAAATTAAATCATTTGGAATACCTTGTATACTTTTAAAAGTTTGTAAAACTTTTTTTTTCATGTTATTAGTTTTTAAAAATGGAGAATGGTAAAAATAACCACATTTTTCTTACACATATTAGATTATTTTGGTTCATGTCCTCTACTAATTTAATTGAAAACTAAACCATAAATTTATGGTGAGAATATTTGATTTTTTTTTTTAATGAAAAGATTCACGAAAATGTTCTTGAATTGATCCATGAAAATGTTCTTGGATTTCAAATAATTAGTTTTGGGAGACTTAACTAGGTCTTTGGAAATAATTATTTCAAAACATTTATTTTGGTAGAGTTTGTGTAGTTTAGACGGATGAGTTTGTATATATTTGTTGATTTTAAATTCAACTACAGAGTAAACTTTAGCAGATTTGTTAAGCAAAATTCTTTTACATGTCGTAATTGTTTTTTATGGATTACATGTCGTATTTAGGAGATTAAAGGCAAAGTCTTCTTTTTATGGATTAATTTATTAATTTTTAGTAAATAGTTAAAGCCAAACTCCAAAATAAAATAAAACATAGTTTGTTTCCGTGTTTGCTTTTATTGTTTTAGAATCAACAAGATATATTTATTGGCCTTTTAAATTAACCAGTTATGTTTAATTTTTATTCATAAACTTTTACAAAAAAAAAATAGGAACGGACCGTTGCGTCAATATATAGATATTTTCCTTTTTTCTTGGTTTATACAAACTATAGAGGTGACAAAAAAAAATTAAAAAATACAAACTATAGAAACGAAAAATGGGAAATATTAAAAACAAAAAACAAAAGGGGAAATATTTCTTGGCGAAAAAAGGAAATTGACCAATTGGTTACAAGGTGATTAATATATATAAACACACTAGCACGATCACTGATTTCTCTATTCATTGTTTTTGTTCATCTCAAATTCTCTAAACTCTCATTCACATAATTGCTTTCTTTTTTATTACACACACGATCACTGATTTCTCTATTCATCTCAAACTCTCTAAACTCTCATTCTTTGAATTACAAACCATGACGTTTAAGTTTTGCAAGCGTAGTCAACCTAAATCCTCTGTTTCTACTAGCTCTTCTTCGTCATCCACCATCGGCGACACTAAAGGGATGTTGAAATCACGATCAGAAGATAACCTTAACAAGCTTGGGAACTGCATGGACAACATGGACGAGGATGTTTCTAAACTATTCATGGAGTTTCAACAAACGGATTTGCGTGAAGATCCCGAGTTGTTTCGTCTTCTCAACGGCTACTTCAACACTACCAAAAACGTTTCCCACTTATGTGAGTCTCTCAGAATATGCTTGGAGAGAGGCAAAAACAAGGACGGTCTCTTCATCGGTGAAGCCTTGTGTGAGGACTTGGATTATTGCATGTTTCTCGAAGAATTTAAAACGTGCCACGAAGACTTGGCTAAAATGATCGTTAAGCTGGAAAAGACAATGAAACAGATCGACAAAAAGTTAAAACGTGTTAGAGGAAGAAGAGCCATTGTTGCGGCTGCCTTGTTAATTCCCGTGGTTGTTGGAATCTTCGTTAGCAAAGTTGTGGCTGGGATCTTCGGGTTGATTCCTATCGAGCCATTGACTTCATTTGTTTCTTCGAGGTGGAAAAAGGCTACAGAAGCTTTGAAACGAAAGAAGACGGCGATGAGTTCAATGGAAAGAGGAACAATGGTCGCTCTCAAAGAAGTGGAGAAGATCACTAGACTCGTGACTCGATTGGAGACCGTCGAGAGATCGATTCGGGTCGCAACGGTTCCTATTAAGAAACGGTCTTTGGTAGCTATGGGAGAGGTGGAGGAGGAACGAAAGAGTTTGAAGTCAACTCTTGTTGACTTAGACAGAGAGACTGGATTGTGCGATGGGTTTGCTCAATTTGGTCGTACGGTGGCTTTGGAGAAGATTACAGAGTTTCTTTCTCGTGGCGAGAAGAAGAGCTCGGCCAAATAGTTGATTTTACTATATCTAGAGATTGTTTTCATTCTTACTTTTCTTAATATGTAGTCACTGGTTAGTTAGAACTAATTTGTTGAATTGTTGTTACTGTAATTTGTTGAATTGTTGTTACTGTAATCTGTATATTCCATTCTATCTTAAGTTGAGGTTATTTGGGTTTTGAAGTTACTTATATACAGAGTCAGGGTCAGACTGTGAAAAGCAAGTGGTACAATTCTCATATTTTGGATACAATGAATCAGAGAGGTGGGTGATGCATAATTCTTAACACTCATGACTTTACTATCTATTAAGCTCTGTTGTTCTAATTACAAAAGCCAAAGACTAAAGACTGTAAGGCTCTTCTATATTTGTTACGGATTACAGATAACTGAAGTGATCTTACACAACATCAAACCTACTACACTAAGTAGACGAACACAGAATAACCATAATGTTCTTGTTGGTACCTTGGTTCCGCCGGTTTGCCTTAAAACTTCATGATCTGAAACCACACAATGTTTCAGGCTTAGAATTCTTTGAGATGAATACTATTCAAACATGAAGATAAGTTTTGATTCTGCAACTTTGATCATCACATAAATGAGAAAAGCCCAATGCAATGTACAAAAGACACACAAACACTAACACTGTATCATTCTCTAAAAACATAAACCAATCATTCATTATAGCCACATACATTAGAAACAAAATAACATTACCAGCATTAATCGTTCAAGCCATTTCATTCATCAAAGAGTGAGAGTCCATTTGCATACGACAACCAATAACAGTTGTAGACTGGAAGCACAGCGTCGGACCACTCGACTTTCCCCCAAATGTCACCTCCATTGCCACGCCTTTCTAGCGAAATCTCCGCGCACCAAAACACATCTTTATGACGACCATCAGAATGATACATAAGCTCATCCCACAAAAACATCATCTTCCCACCAGCATCCACAATTAAAAAATGCTCACCAGAGTGGCAAACATGAGGCCATCTTTCAACACCATTCAGGTTCTTCCATAAACTCACCTTAAAATCATACCATTTAAACACTCCATTAATCCAAACGAACAAAACATCATCTAGAAAATACTACACAAGCCATAAAACTATCCAATCCCATTGTGTTCCATCTACCTTCCTCAGGACTGTAAACCACATAGATAAAATTTCCCATCAAGTCCTAAGCTTTTGATTTCACCACCTCTATAGCGTTTTCCAGGGTTCGTTACAGACCCCCAAGTTTGAGTCTTTGGATCAAACACCTCGACCCATTTCGAGGAATTGACATCTTCACAACCTCCTGCAACATATATCTTCCCATCAAGTGAGCTATCTGTGGAAGAGTTGCTCCGGTCCACTCGCATACTTGGAGCTTGATGCCACTTATGAGACTTGCAATCAAGAACATAGACTCTACAAGAAGAGACTCTATCACCACCTATTTTGTAGATATTCGAACCAACAGCGACGTGGCACGTTGATCCCGCAGGAGGCAAATGTGGAGATGGGATTAGGACCAAGCGATTGCCACGGTTTGGTGTTCGACAAAGAGTGAACCTCGTGAAGCTTCGGTGAAGCAATGAGGGATCTGAATCTTTTGGAGACGAGAAAGAGCGTTGGGTGATATAATCTGGAGACTCGTGCTAAGCAATTTAATAGGAGATCGTAAGGAAGTGACATTAGCATCAAGGTAGGTTCAGTCGCCGGAGACGGAGACGGATTCGCGGCGGACGACATTTTTGTGTTGGGGGCAATTTGCTTCGGTAGAACAAGACTCGAAAACCAAAACATGGGCTTTATCCACTGCTGTAGCAGATCACTAATGGGCTTTCATTAGAAAACCAAAGCTTTGTAATTAATTGACATTTAACTTTAGTTAAAGATTCGATTTCCTTATCAATTCAATATTGATCTAAATTAATTTAGAAATTTGGAACCCTAAATGAAATATTTTACTCTATGTTAGATTGTGATGATTCTTTTTTTTTTTTCTAAAGAAAATATGATTTTGACAAAATCCACTCGTATATAATGTCGAACGGAGATGCTCCGGTTTGGAAATAAAATTAGTACCGGTGGCATATTTTCTTTTTGGTTCACACTACAAGACATGAACATGATAAGCTTTGCCTTAAATTCAATAAAGTATCTTGTTTTAGTTATCCTCGCGGTCGCGGATGTAAAAAGACAACAAAAGTGCTAATAACCCATATGTTTTAGAACTTAAACAATGCAAAATTGTGTTCTGCTAAAAACATGAAACACTCGTTCATTATAATTAACACCAGCAGTCTTGAAAGCATTGATGATAGTACCACCAACAAAAGTGCGATCAAGGTTAGAAGTTTTAGTCTATGCAAAATTGCATTTCACAAAACAAACATGATAAAAAATCATTCATCAAATCATATAAACTTGTTGAAACGAAATACCCAAAATAACAAAAACTCAAATACTCAAAACAAAATGAGATTATGATCCGCATATATGAAGCCGTTCAAGCTTAATCTCATATGAGTATAGCCCCATTTTATCAAACAACAGCGGAAACAACATTGGCATCGAGCAAGGAACCAGAATAGTGGACACTAAGCACATTATCAAACCACTCAACCTTCCCCCAAATCTCATCTCCATCGCGTCTTTCAAGGCTAACCTCAGCACACCAAATCTTATTAAATCCCTTATAGGGCAGAGACTCTTCCCATAAAACCGCAATCTTTCCACCAAGATCCACCATTTTACAATACTCATGGCCGCTTAAATCAGGCAACCCTTCAACACCGTTCAAATCCTTCCATAATTTTACCTTAAAGTCATACCATTTGAACAAACCCTTCTCCCAAATGAACAAGACATTGTCTACCACGCAAGAACTAGAGCTTATGCATGACCTAGAGTCTATTGCACGCCACATTGGCCTATCCTCTCCTATATCGTTCCATTTACCTTCCTTAGGATTGTAAACCTTAAACTCTTCCCCAAACATGTATAGCTTTCCTTCAAGCCCTAAGCCTTTGAGTACACGTCTAGATTGATATTCATCGTATATCTCCTGGATATGAGGGTTCGTCACAGAGCCCCAAGTTTTGGTCATTGGATCATACACTTCCATCCAGTTAGTGGATCTGTATTCTTCACAGCCTCCTGCTACATATATCTTACCATCAACTACGCTTACGGTGGAAGAAGAGCTCCTGGCCAATCGCATTCCTGGAGCCTGACGCCACCTGTGACTCCGACAATCCAGGACAGAGACATAAGAACAACGGCGCGTCTTGAACTTGAATTGACAAGATTTAGCGCCGCCGATTTTGTAGATATCAGAACCAACGGCTATGACACTTGACGATTGCGCAGGAACCATAGCAAAGGGAGATGGAATCTGGACCAGACGATAGCCACTTGACTTGTCGGCTACGTTTTTGTTAGGTTCCCGGCAGAGAGTGAACCAATGTGTGTTCGTGTCGAATTGGAAGGTCAAGCAAAGATAGAGACACTTCTCGGTTCGGTTTAAGCGTGATCGGGTCTCGTAAAGCTCCGGTGAAGCAACAATGGATCGGAAAGTTTTGCAAACGAGGGAGAGAGTTGGGTAGTATAATCTAGAGACGCGTGAAATGCAGTTGAACAACAAGTCATTAGGAAGTGACACGATCGAGTTCGGTTCTTGTCTCACCGGAGACGGAGACGGAGAAGGAGACGGCATCTTCTTCTTTCTTTTACGGAGTGGTTTCTCGCCCTTCATGGCGGCTAAAGATCTGGCTTTTGACGACATTATTAGGTCAAAACCTACTGAAGTAAATCCACAGGAGACACTTCTCTGTACATTTTAGGGCATCCCTTGATTCCAGAGTTATCGGACACGTGAGCTTTACGTATCTCAGAAAAACTAACCACTACTAAGGCCTTTAGGCCCAAACTTAGCATGGTACTAATGGGCCGATTGAAAATACTTTAAATTGATGCGTGGATGTTTTTATTTAACGAAGTCCCTGAACTTTCCATATCCATCAACTACAGCAAGTTAGTTTTTAAATTTTTTCCTGCAAACCCAAAGTGAGAAAAGGTTTGAGGTTAATAAAGAATATTAAACATTTTAAAGGGGTTAATATGAAAAGCTATCTATCAGAGTATCACTATCACCGGAGTTACTTCTGTCGCTCTGAGAGAGTGACAAAAACACTCTGTTTTAGACTGAATCTTCCCGCCGGACGTTGTGTTAGATTCTCCCAAACGACGAATTGGCTTCCCGCTGGTTGAATTGCTCTCAATGTACAGTTCTAAAACAGTAAACTTTGTATTCTTATCCCTTGTGGTTTATGCATTGAAGTTGTTCGATGAAATGCACGAATGAGAGTTACGGTTCCAAAGAATTGGTATGATGTTCTGTTAGGTGTGTGGATATTATGAATGCCTCCAGGGAATTGATAGAAGGGGTTGAGGAATTGAACGTTGAGACTCCAGCGAAGTCAGGTGATTGTCATGATGTATGTAGACCTTTTGGGTTGTGTGTGATGCAAGTTCCTCCAATACGTAAATGATTTGAAGGGTTTATACCAAAATATACTGAGACGTTGAAAAGAGGAAATTGGAGTGGTGGTTTGTGTAAGGAGTAAGGTGTACCCAACTACATTGTCATTTTTCAGAGAACCCCTACTGGAAAAAAATGCAAAAATGTCTTCCATACAGTTCCCAACATAAAGCTTCCTGACATATGAATTTTGAAGTTCCGTGAAAGCTGAAGAATGCTACTAAAATTGTTCTTGCTTGGCCTTTGCTTATATTAATGTAATAGGCTGCTTACTGTGGAACCAGTACCTAATGGACTTATGGACGCAGTGCAGTTTCCTGCAGAGGAGACCTTTTCATTCGTCTTGCACATTCTGCGCGAGGTACAGCTTAAATAACACCAAAGAGCTACTTTGTTATTTACAAATCTTCAACTCCATTGAAATAGTTATTTTCTGTAGCTGTATGACTATGACTCTTAATGCTTAATATTTGAAGTCTCATAAATTTCAGGTGTAATAAGCTCAAGAAAACCATTGTTGCTGGTGTTGTGAGCCTCTCTCTATCTGTTATATTGGGTTCTGCTGTGTTTGGTTTCTTGAGTGAAACATTATGGTAACGCCCTTATGTCCTTACTGAAACATTGTGTTTGGTTTCTTGAGCTGAGACCACTTTTAAGATTTAAGCATCACAAGTAAATAACTCTTTAACATTGTTTTAAATTTCCTAAGCGGTTTGCTTGAATCTTGCAAATACCAGCTGATAATCCTAAAAGTTTTTCTTTTTAGCCATTGACATTGTCATTTCTTACAAAACACGAATATGTTTACACAGGGTGTTACAATACGAAGAAGCCAATGGTAGCGGAATATAGAAATATTGTAGGATACAAGAGACATAGAACACACATGGGATGATGATCATCTCAGTGGAACTTGAGGCTGGTCAAGACGTTGTTGTTGACGGGATCCGCCAAGTGATCAAGCAGGTTCTGGTAAGGCCCGACTCCAGTCACTAGTCCCTGGATGAAGTAACCGAGGATGGCGAGCATAGCCAGTCTACCGTTCTTGACCTCCTTGAGTTTCAACTCTTTCATTGACTTCTCATCTTTCCCAAACCCAAGAGGGTTGAAGAAAGGTCCACCGGGGTATGAGGGGTCACCTGAACCGGCCAATCCCTTCTCTAACCCCAAGAAGTACTGTTTCCCCATAGATCCTGGGTTGTACCAGTCCTGTAACCTCCTGTGCTCAGCAAATCCCATCAGAGCCATCTCGAGAACAAAGAGTGTGTAATTGTCTGCCCAGTAGCTGTATGTCCCTGCAGGTGGAATCACACCGGTTTGGAACCAGGGAAGAGCTGTCTCTGCGGGAATCAGACCAGCCTTTCCTAGAATCTCAGGAGCAATAGCTCCAGCTGCACCCAACATGGCGAACCGTCCGTTGATGATCTCTCCGTATGCTAGCCATCTCGGCTCAATGAATCCTCCGGTTCCCTCTGGGTCTGAGAGACCAAGTGGGTCGAATCCATAGTCACCAGGTAAGCTGCAAGAATCACAACATTTCCAAATCTTTTGAACATCATGTAAGTTCTCAAAGCAATCAAATCCAACAGTGTTTTTAAGAATTACCTGCCATCCAAGTAAGTGAGACTCTGCGATGATGCAAACCACAATGGTCTGTTTGCTCCTTGCTGAGTAACCAAACCACACAAAATTCAAGATCAGATTATGTAATGCATATAGAGAGACAGAGAAAGAGATAGATCTGTGTGAAAGATACCTTGACAGGTGGAGTTGAAGCAGCCTTAACAACAAAGGAGCTCTTCTTCTGTGAGGCAGACACAGCTGGTTTTGAGCCAAAAATCTGTCTAGCTGTCTGAACAGAGGAGGTAAGTGAAGAAGACACAAGTGCTTGTGCTGCCATTTTTTTCTCTGTTCCTCAACGCTTCTCTTCTGTCACCAAGAGATGATGATGAATGATGATGATGGTTCGGTTATGGTCTGGAGGAGCTATGTTAGGGTAGAAGAAACAAAAGGTCTAGTACTTGTGGCTTTGAAATAGCACAAGTGGTTTTGCTCAGATTAGATTAGTATCTGCTTCACCAACGACATCTGTCCACGTGGCAATATAAGTTGGATAAGAGATTATGTTATTCTGTTTTTGCTTATCCGCCACACGAACAAAAAATCTTTACATAGAATCCTATTGGTTCCAGAAATAAAATACATATCATATAATTTAATTGGACTGGATATGTATTTCTGTGGTAAAAAATATCAAATTTGGAAATTGTAGAATTGAAAGAAATTTAATACCCAATAACAAGAAATTTAAATAAAAAAGATAATGTGTGAACGAGAGGGTTAATGACTTCATGTGTGCATTGGAGAAATTCATTATAAAATAGTTTATATTTAAAAATATGTATAAATATTAAAATGGAAATTGGTGAGAATATTAATGGTTAAGTAGATGAAATGAAAATTGAAATACAACAAATATATCTTTAGATACCCTAATGATGTCAAAAAAAAAAAAATCTTTAGATACCCTAATTTTCAAAATCTTCAAACACCTAAATCACTAATTAACTTTAAGTCTTTAATTAATCAAAGAATTAGGAGTGATTTATTCGACAGAGGAAAGATAAATAATACTAATGTTTATGAACGTGTCATATCTGTAATGTGTCTCTATGCTCTTGCTGGTGACACACCAGTGTTCACTCCACAACTAAAGTCTCCGACTAGCAAGTGTTTGAAAGGAACGTTTTGGATCACGCACTGTAAGTGTTCGGTGAAATGCCTAAACGAAACGTAAGGTTGCTGATCAAAGTAACCCGGAAGAGAATAGCTTGCTGATCAAATAAAACAGAGGATGCTGCACTTGTATGTTAAGGTTTTGTATAGTTGTTTCTTTTTTTATTTGGTTGGTCTTTCGTCTATATTTGAGGTCCTGCATCTAACCCCAGTTGCATCTTTGTATTGATTTTAGAGTGTAGATGTGTATCTCTCACTGATTCTGGTCAATCGTGCGTGGTTGGTGTTTTTTGGTTCAGACCATGAAAGGTAAAGGGTACAAATTGTCATCTTTTGATTGGTTCATAGTGTTTATGACTCTCTTATTGGTGGGCTAAACAAGTTTTATCAGAGACATGAAATTGACACAAAATGTCGAAATATGAGGTCAAATGTTGCATGCTTGATCGAGTACGAAGTTTGAATATTTTTTTGGGAGTCAAGTTGTATATATATATATATAAACATTTCATATTATTGAATCTGTATTCTAAATCAAGTTGTAAGTTGATCGTGAATATACTAATGTACAGCCTTGGAAGAGAGGAGTTGTGGTCAATACTGTTTAGAGAAGGATTTTAAAATAAGTACTCGAGTTGAGTCTGCTTTCATGGCTTACTTTCTCTAGCTTGCATACATGTTATCTTCTTATACTAATTTGAAGGAGATTGTTTTTGGAGACAAAAGAGTGCATATGGGGATGACGAGGTTTGCTTCTTTTCTCTTGTTTACTTTACTCTTAAGCTTTAGCTCTGCAGCTATAACGCCAACAAGTCCTTTGTCAATAGGACAAACTCTCATCTCTGCTAATGGAGTCTATGAATTGGGGTTCTTCAGTCCTAATAACACCAAGGAACTATATGTTGGAATCTGGTTGAAAGGAACCAGCCCTCAGATTGTTGTGTGGGTGGCCAACAGAGAAAAGGCTGTTAGAGACTCCACGGCGAATCTAACTATCAGCAGCAGTGGGAATCTTCTCTTATTAGATGGAAAGCATGGTGTTGTATGGTCCATAGGAGAAACTTTCACATCTAACGGGTCGCGTGTAGAGCTTTTAGACACCGGGAATCTTATCGTCGTTGATAAAGTTTCAGGAAGAACTCTATGGGAAAGCTTTGACCATCTTAGTGATACTCTGCTACATTCATCATCCCTAATGTATAACCTCGTTACCGGTGAGAAGCGGGTGTTGACCTCTTGGAAAAGTTACACTGATCCATCACCTGGCGACTTTGTGAGTCTGATTACACCACAAGTGCCATCACAGGGGTTTATTATGAGAGGGTCGACGCCTTATTATAGAACTGGTCCATGGGCTAAAACAAGGTTCACCGGGGTACCGCTAATGGATGAGTCATACACAAGTCCATTCAGCCTACACCAGGACGTAAACGGGTCAGGATTCTATACATATTTTGAAAGAAACAACAAACCTTCATGTTTTGTTTTAACAGCAGAGGGATCAATGAAGATGTTTGCGCATAATGGAACACACTGGGTAATAAGCTACGAGGATCCACCCAGTATATGTAATATTTATGGTGTATGTGGACCTTTTGGGGTGTGTATTATGTCAGTACCTTCAGAGTGTAAATGCTTCAACGGTTTTGTTCCTAAATCCATTGAGGAGTGGAAAAGAGGAAACTGGAGTAGTGGTTGTGTGAGGCGTACCGAACTACATTGTCAAGGAAACTCTACCGGCAAAGATGTCAACGTCTTCCATCCTGTTGCCAGTATAAAGCCTCCAGACTTTTACGAATTAGGAAGTTCTGTAAATCCTGAAGAATGTTCCCAAAGTTGCCTCCACAATTGTTCTTGCGTGGCCTTTGCTTATATACAAGGTATTGGGTGCTTATTGTGGAACCAGGATCTATTGGACGCTGTGCAATTTTCTGCTGGAGGAGAACTTCTTTCCATACGTCTTGCACGTTCTGAGCTAGGTATGACTTAGAAGATCATTCAAAGACCTTCAATTTTGCAACTTTATCTTCTGATATTGCTTTGTGAGATAGGAACATGACTAATTGTTTGACTTTCAATAGGAGCATGACTTCAAGATTAATTTGTTGTGTTTACATTTCTCAGATGGAAATAAGCGCAAGAAGACCATTGTTGCTAGTACAGTGAGCCTTACCCTTTTTGTGATCTTGGGCTTCGCTGCGTTTATTTTATGGAGATGCAGAGTCAAACATAAAGGTACCACATTGATGATTTTATAATCCTACGTTTAGTCTCTTGATGTTCATCTAGTCATTTGCTTGCAAAAAATGTGATTGTTCTTAACTGTTCTTTAAATGAAAATATTATCTTTTTGGTACATTTGCTTCGGCTTGCTTAAAAACTTCTTGATATGCACACTTGGACTTGGCTACATAACTAGACTTGAAGCACTAACACAAATTATGAATCAAATTCCAGAGCATATAGCAAAGGATGTATGGAGGAATGATTTAAAACAACAAGATGTCCCAGGTTTAGATTTCTTTGAGATGAATACCATTCTAAGTGCCACAGATAATTTCAGTATAACTAACAAACTCGGACAAGGTGGATTTGGTTCAGTTTACAAGGTAAGATAATTTTTACTACTCTGGGATCATTTCTTTTCTCTACTTTCTCGTAATAGCCATTTGCAACTTGTTTCAGGGAAAACTGGAAGATGGGAAAGAAATAGCGGTAAAACGGCTTTCTAGCAGCTCTGGACAGGGCAAAGAGGAGTTCATGAATGAACTAGTACTCATATCAAAACTCCAACACATAAATTTAGTCCGGATTTTGGGATGCTGCATTGAAGGAGAAGAGAAGCTATTGATTTATGAGTTTATGCTGAACAAAAGCTTAGATACTTTTATATTTGGTGAGTCCTCTCATCTTGTCAATTTCATTATCTATTAGCATCTTTTTCTCTCTTTGGAATTGTTTCTCTGATAGTGTTTACATTGTATTTTTGCTTAGACTCAAGAAAAAAGCACGAGATTGATTGGTCAAAAAGATTTGATATCATTCAAGGTATTGCACGTGGACTTCTCTATCTTCACCGTGACTCACGTCTCAGGGTAATTCACAGAGACCTGAAGGTTAGCAACATTCTTCTGGATGAGAAAATGAACCCGAAAATATCAGATTTTGGATTGGCTCGGATGTATCAGGGAACCCAATATCAGGACAACACTCACAGGGTTGTAGGAACTCTGTAAGAACCTGCCTTCAGAAACAAGATTAACTAGGATTCATAGGTACATATCATAAACGACTTGATATATGTGCAGAGGATATATGTCTCCAGAGTATGCATGGACTGGGATGTTCTCTGAGAAGTCTGACATCTACAGCTTCGGAGTTCTACTACTAGAAATCATCAGTGGAGAGAAGATCTCAAGATTCAGCTCTGGGGAAGACGGAAAAACCCTTCTTGCATATGTAAGTAAAGACTTTAGGCACTGACACACTAAACACTCGCTGTCTGTTTGAAAACTATTCTTGTTCTTTTGTAAACAACAACAGGCGTGGGAATCTTGGTCTGAAAATGGAGGAATTGATCTTCTGGACCAAGATGTCGCTGATTCATGCCGCCCAGTAGAAGTTGGGAGATGTGTTCAGATTGGTCTACTCTGTGTTCAACACCAACCTAATGATAGACCCAACACACTTGAGTTGCTATCTTTGCTCACCACAACATCTGATCTTCCATCACCAAAACAACCAACATTTGTAATGCACACGAGAGACGAAGAATCACCGTTAAGGGATTTGATCTCCATCAATGAGATAACACAATCTGTGATCCTTGGGCGTTAAGAAATCTTGATGTGATGGAAACTATATAATTGGAGTGTGTTACATTGTTCTCTTTAAAGGATTCATTTTTCGAAATTGTTTCATACATATCCAAATAAAAAGGTTTTAACTTCAAGATTGAAGAGATTGAAGGCTACCCAGAAGACTCGATGGGTCCTTCAAACCTATTTCACTGGTTCTGACTTCTGACCCATCGACTCTTCTGGCTTTACTTCAACCGGTTCCAATGTGTTGTCGTCTCACAATGTTAAATTTGGGGGAGAAGCCCTTAAGCCAAGCTTTTGGGAGTTGGAAATGGTCATACTTCCATGTTTAGTATTGGTCTCGATTTGGGTAATTAGGGAGCAAAGACATTAGCGAAGCTCTGTACGTTTTAATCATGCACCCTAAGTGTTCGGTAAAATGCTTGAACTAGATATTACACATTCTACAGTTCAAAAACTTGTTACCGTTTAAACTTTGTCGTAAGATTAAAAACAACTTCGGAAACCAATGAACAAGATTTGATTGATTAATATCGTCATTATCTGATTTATTCATATAATGACCTGAGTGTGGATGTTTATCTTTTTGACAAGTTCTGGACTCAAAGAGCTGGCAAGGACACACAATGTTTTAATCTGAGGTCAATCGACGTTTGATTCTTCAAGTGAGGCTAAATCTTCTCATCTTTTTGATTAATGCAGAGTGTTAGATGCCTATCTTCCATTGGTTCGTGTCCTAATAAGCTAAACAAGGACATGAAAAAATGTTGCTATGTGAGGTCAAATGTTGGATTTCTCGTGGAAATTACACAAGGGTCAACGTTGAAATGTATTTGGTATTGTAAGACCAGCCTTTTAGGTTCCCTAGAAAAATCTTATTGGTTCTTATCTAACTGTTCAATGATTTGTTTCTAAAATCACTTGAAAAAGAAAAGTTTAAAGATAGCAGGTCACGTTTCAATCTAGGGAACCTGAAAGTCTATATTGGTATTTTGAGTTAGTTCGATGAACTCTAGAAACCACCGTTTTTGCAGAGAAATTGCAGCTTTGAATCATTCAATATGAGTAGACTCTATATTGCTGACCTTTATGCTCATCTCTTGTGGTCAAATTGCTTATAGAACTCTTCTGAATTTTGCC